AGTGGGTGGGTTGGTGGGTGGATGGGTGGGTGGATGGAAGAAGGGCAAAGTTTACCAGAAGTTGTGATAGTTCCAGCACTCTTCCTGCTGTATCCAATGCTATCAGGACATTTCCATTCCGACGAGTCGTTTTAAGAATTTCATCTATACAAATAATATCATAATAATAATTACAATGCATATCAACTAAGGTTCACCTACCAGAGTGCTTACCACATTTCTGTGGAAAACCTTCTAAGAAATTGGACAATTTGCACATATTAATAAGTTCAGTAGACCTCAGCAGACTGTAGAGCTACAAAACTTTTCACTAATTTGTACTTTTCGGTGATAGCCATCACGTTGTAAACACTTTGATGGATTGTGTTACGGTCACCAATAAGTTTGGACATCGTTCTCGGATTCCCATACAAATTCAGTGAGTTTAAAGAGAAAATTKAGATAGATTTCTTTAGTTAGCTCTATTAACAGCAATAAGAAAAGCTTCAAATAAGTTAGAAAAATGATATCTTACTTGTATTTAGAGAACTAACTAAACAAACCAAGCAAACAATTCATTTATAAAAGTCAGCACATTTGTACAGAAATCTGAGAACAATGTCTGAACTTCTTGGTGACCGTAACACAATCCAACACAATTATGAAGGTGAATTATGACCTACTGCACCAGAGACAAACGCTCTTGCGAAATGAGCTTGCTGAGTGGCTTTGCATGAGTTGATTGTTTACAATCAACTCACAAACCTGTCATGCTTATTGTGCGTAAATAGGAATGAAAACATCAATTGGTTATAAACAACAGCCTTCATTAGTTACTTTTTGATAGAATAACAAAAAAATTGAAAGATATTTACTTTTAAGCAGCGTATCTCTTTCTCTTCTCCTCGTCTGTACATTCAAAGCATTAAATGAATCAGTGATCAACAATGACGGTCGACTAAGTGTTTCCAGGACGGCTCCATTCAGGTGTCTTTCCTTCTTGTGGTTATAATCGACGGCATATATTATATCCTCTTCTCCATCTTTGACTATCTTCCACATTGTCCCACCAATCATGTGCCCAGCGGCATAAGGTGTGATGGTGATACCATGTCCTTTACCTGAATATAGTATATTATATCATTAGTTCTATACTAACTAACTAGCGTCATACTACTGTATATAGTTTCTTGATACCATGAAGTATCTTAATATATATTTTAGTACAGATAAGATATTCATTGCTTTGCTATGAGAAAACGTTGGATATCTATTTTATCATGCACAAAAGTTGCCTTCACAGTTCCCTGTGCCATCTTGAAAAGTAGCTGTGTCTCTGCATTGAAGCCAGACGAATGGTGAGTTTACACTAATAGCGGCATGTGAATAATTATCCAAGGTGTTAAAAAGGTCTCTATCATTGCAAGCTCACCGTTCGTCTCGCTTCGATGCAAAGGCAAGGCTAACTTTAAAGATGGGGGAGGAAAGTGTGAAGGGGAGTATTGAAAATACACATAGGCTGTAATCCCATATATATAGCACAGTGTTTTATGTTGTTTTTTTTGTTACAATTTAAATTACCTTTTAGGCTAACATTCTGTGAATATTTGAGTTGAATAATCTTATCAAAAACAGCATCCACATCATCCAGGGTGAAGGTGTCAAATTCTTCTGAGTTTTGATGTGACTAAGAAAAAATTGGAACAAAAAAATTATGGTACTCTGTACTCTCATGTTCATCCAATATCCCTTTAACAGTTTTAAAAATATAATAGCTGGTCAACCAACAACATTGCATATAATGGCCAAAACTGATCAGTCACATTGACTTGTTACAATTTGAAACTTGTTTCACACTAGCATCGAAATCAGAATTGGAAACAACATATGCAGTCACTCAGTATCACAAATACACTGAGTCTGCGTATGTTGCTTCTGAAGTGTACTCCTTCCATGATTTTAAATAGTTTAACCAATTAACCTTACTACTTCATGTAAGACTATATGAAATGGCACTATTCCGTAATAGATTCTAAGGGTATAAGTTTTTTTTTGGATTTGGGTTAGGGTTTGGATTAGGGTTTCAGGATGTTATAATCAATAATAAATAATTATAATCCAATACTAGAGCAGATGCAATTAAACCGTGAAATAAAATCAAACTAAATACTAACTAATGGTGTCTATTTAGTGACTAATAGTTGCTATCACTCAACCAGAACATTTATTAAACAAAAGACACAAATGGTCTCTTGTGTATTTGTCTTTGTATGATGAATGTTCTGGTTGAGTAATAGCAACTACTAGTCACTAAATAGATACTATTAGTTAGTATTTAGTTTGATTTTATTTCACGGTTTAATTGCATCTGCTCTACCATTTCATGTAGTCTTACATGAAGTAACAACCTATTATGCCAATACCATGAGATCCAGCTTCCATGATTGTGATGGAATTTGGATGCTTACAATAATTTATGAAATCACAATAATTGATTATCATTCAAATCCATTCTTTTGTCTATTAATATCTCTCTTGTATCTCACCACAGGAATCCCAAAGATACAAAAAGAGAGGCGAAAGTAGAATAGACCAGAATCTCACCTGAAACCAATCATACATAAACATTTGCCCCATCTTGTAAACTGGAATAGTAGCATATATCGGGCAGTGTAACCCACACTTGCCGACCAAATATGGCAAACCACCCATGTGATAGAGGTCTGGGAATGATATTAACACTGCGTCTATCTGATGTACATGCCTGAAACATGAAAAAAATAATGTTGCGATTATTCGCTTTACAATGTAAATATACATGTATGTAGAAATAAACATTAACCATATTGGTCATCATCATCATCATCTTTATTGAGTCGGTAAAGCCTTAAGGCATCACACCAACTGTAATAAGCTATATAGAAGAATAAAAAAACTACAATTTTTTGAATGGAATAGTTCTAAAACTGTCATAAAAAATTTATAAATTAAATAAACATAATTCCAGATGTCGGAGCCACGCCCAAACCCCCCAAACAAATCCCTAGCTGACTGAAGCATCCCACCAGTATTAAGGTGAATGCTGCAGCTGGAGACAAATTATCACCCGGGGCAATTGAGTGYGCCTTCTACACCCGTTATCTAATTAATAAATAAGGAAAAATATCTAAGATACCTAATCTAGATATTTTTTAATTTCAATTTTACCGTTTGATAGAAAACAATACCACATATTTGTTGGCATCGTTACCGCACTCTAGCCATATTCTCATTGTAACTGAGCATTGTCATTGGGTGAATTATTGGAAGGCAATGGGAATCTATTTCAATATTACAGCATGTTGTACTGTGTACTGYATAGGTCCTGTAAGTCAACTAGAATTATGTATTTTTCAAACTGCTCTATTAATTTGATAAACTTGAAATGTTTGGCCATGTTTTAACTCGATAATATATTTAATGTCAACAACATACRACTTTCAACTCACATTTTGATTTTCATAGAGTTAGAAAAAGCCAGAGAACTTAAAGAAAATCTTTGTGGCAGCGGAGAGAAGTAACAAGCACTCATCTACTCACAAACTTATTGCTGGTTTTTAATCATTCCCAAGAGAATGAAATAACAAAACACGGTGGCGATGTTGGATGATATAACAAAAGAGACTAATGAATCTTTGCTGAATTCATCCAACATGGTGGCTGTGAAAAACATCAATATCACCAAACATAATTGTATTAACGCAGAGTCCCAACACTATAGACCAGTTTCAGCAATTCCTAGAGTCGTTGCAACGCAGAGGACAAAACAATGTATTTTAGTTATCAAAAAAGTAAGATTCTATGGCTTTGTCCTCTGAATTGGCTGCATTGGAAATATCCTGCAAGGGGTGTATACAAACTTTAGCGTGACTAGCAAATGAGCTTACTTTTTAACAGTTTCAATGTGTTCCATGGTGAGCGTTTCGTTCCATCCACAGTCCAACAAGAAACGAAATTCGTCAACTTGCATGAGGTAACACAGGGGACCCTCATCATGAGCACCAGAAAGAACAGACAGCTTGATAATCGAAGTCATGTCGGACACGCAGTTCTCTTCTGTTATTATATACGATTTTTAGGGTAATCAGACCATATTTTACTGAAGAAATCTTGTGGAAAGTTTGGAATATATAGCTACATGAGGAAGGCTGCCATTTTGGATAACCCGACCTCCTTTGCGGGTTTGCGGTTCAAGTAAAAAGTGTACCACAGGGATCCCATGAATAGGATGTGACGCAAGTCAGCTCCGTGAAAAATACATAAAACTTTTAAAATTTCATCTGTTACACAGATCACTTTTAATAAATATTTTTATTGATCTTATAATCAGGACCATACTTCCAGACATCGAATGCTGAACCGTCGTATGGCAGCGCGAAGCATTTACGGCTATGCCGGAGATTTCGGCCCCGACACCGCTATCCCTGGATTTACAGACTGATCAGGAAGCTCGGCAGAAGCCTAAGGGAGAGGTTAGTCGGCCCCTAGACCGTAGATGATTAACCCCTTGCTATGACCAGCATACCCAGCATTTCGCTTGTGTCGCTGATGACTAGTCTCCCATGGTCACTCCTTTCCATGTGGGACATTTTTTTGAAGGCTAGCTGCAAGGTTACTCTTTCCATGTGGGACGCGCTTGCAAACTGTACCACAGTATCATTTCTCACGAAAACTTGGGGTAAAAATCCAAATCCAAAGTTATTCAGCGGAAGTAGATCCAGAAATCTGAGAAATGATGTTAGTCACGATGGCAATTTCTTTGAACGCTCCGTTTTTTTGTGGGGTGGCCTTTTGTTAGCCAAACAAAAGCGGAACGGTGAAAGGAGGGGCCAGCGTTTGGACTGAAAAAATGTGAGGTGGAGGCAGGGGGCGTATTTAGGCGAATCTCAACGCTGACTATGCAAAACGAAAGCAGAGAAGGTCCTTGGGCATTGGGGCATTGGCTTCTAAAGAAAAAAGGCAAGAAGAGGAACCACGGCCCCATCTTTCATAAATATGAACATATGATATACATATTAAGGTGTACAGTTATTAATTAACAAACAACTGAAATCCAACTGAAACATTTTAATTCTTTGACAGACACGACTTGGACGCTGTGATTACAGGCTTCCTGTGTATATTGCTACCCAGGAGACATTGCGAGTGTAATGCAAAATGGCGGCAAAGTCGAGGTATTGTGATTGACAGTAGAATGTCTCTCCTAAAAATATTAAAACAAGGAGTTTCATCATCCGAAATTAGGAGCAGAAAAAAGATTCAAACCTATTGGTAAATGAAGGATAATTATCTTAATTATCATATGAAGAAATGGCATAAGTGACACTAGAATCACCAGAAGTTTGGGACCAGGCGACTTCTAGTAGAATTTGAAGTCATCAGTCAAAGGAGGCTTCGAAGAAAACCACAACTGTACGAGAAAACGTTTAAAAATATCTAGCTGGAGATCTCCTGGACCTTTCAAGAAGCATGAATGGCGCTATTATTCCACATACGCCTAACGCGGTGGATTTCTGGAATGCAAGAGAGACAGCGGCCAAGAACTGTCGTTTGTTTTTCCTAACACATGCTCATGCAGACCACACAGTGGGTCTCTCGTCATCTTGGAAAAACCACAAGATTTATTGCTCAGAATTAACTAAAAGAATCATTCTGCACAAATTTGGGATTTGTAAAGAACTTGTGGTTGGGCTTCCTGTGGATCAACCTATTGTCATAGCAATGGATGAAGTGGGGAAGGAGAACCTTACAGTTACTTTAATTGATGCAAATCACTGTCCTGGTGCTGTATTGTTCCTCTTTCAAGGGTATTTCGGTAATATTCTGTACACTGGAGACTTCCGGTACCATAGCATGTTCAATACGCATTATGCATTGCAACATACCGTGATTGACAAGTTATATCTAGACAATACCTACTGCGATCCAAAGTGTGTATTTCCAACAAGAGAAGAGGCAACAAATATGATCTTGGATGTTGTAAGAAAACATTTGGATTTTAACATAGTTTTTGGGATGAACACATTAGGGAAGGAAGATTTGATGGCCAAAATTGGATTGACATTTCATAAATGGATTGGAGTGGATCCCAAAAGAATGGAGCTACTAAAACTTCTTGACTTACCTGATGTTTTTACTTGTGACATTGACTCCACGAGCATAAGAATTGTCATGAAGAATGAAATATCAAAGAGAAACCTCCAACTTTGGAACAACCAACACCCTACCATTGCCATCTTGCCAACAGCCCTCTTCGAAGGTGAAACTAACATCTACCAGAACATGGATAATGTTTTTGTAATACCATTCTCAGATCACTCATCCTTTAATGAACTAATGACTTTTGTATCTGAGATAAAACCCAAGGAAATTGTTCCTTTAGTTCTAAGACACAGAGGTGCAAAGGGTGATCCTGATAACACTAGAGTCAATATGGCTGTCTTCAGTTCTATGCTGAACAAGGAACCCTTAGGTACCTTTACTATCCCTGAAACAGTCCTGCAATTTATGGGCATGAGAACGACAGTAAATAAAGTAAAGAAAAGAACAAAGTCATTTGGAAACCCCAGACGAAAGAAGCAAAAATGTTCAGGAGTGGTGTTTAGTGATGAAGAAGAAGAAAAGGCTGAGATTTCTTTGCACAATCCAGAGTTGAAAATGCCTGAGAATAAAACTTATGTGGATAGAAAGCTGTCTAGTTCCTTAGAACCRGTCAATCCAGCTATAAATACAGGATTTACTAGTATTTCAGGAAGTACAGATGAGGTCAATGCTAGAGAAAAAATACTTTTGCAGGATTCCTGTGCTTTGGAAAACACAAACCTAAAGTTGTGCAAACCTGACATGGACTTAAATACCAAGGGATCTACTTTGGAACAAGTTGATATTGATGTGGAGTTGACTGGTACTTTGAAGAGAAAAGAGGACATAAAGATTGAGCTAGAAGATCCCCCAGATCTGCAAAATTTGTGTGTTATGGAAGAGATGAATACGCAGACTTGTACATGTAAAAGAGAAAAGGAGTTAGTTCCCAGAATGTGTAATGTGCTGAAACAAGAAGAAGATATCAAGACTGATGATCAGAGAATGAATTTCCTACATGACAAACAAGAAAAAGAAAATGAAGCCAAACTACTACACTACCAAACTAACAAGAATTCCACTGTCAACAAATCCTCATTGACTAGCAAAGAGGCTGAAAGTACAACTAATAATTCTACAGAAGATCTTAAACTTGCTCGGAAACTCTTAGATGCATTTAATTCTGGACAGTATGAAGATGAATGCACTCTTGTTAACCCTGTGTACAAGAGGTTTGAGAGTCACTTTTGTGAATACTTGAGAACTTTGACATCAAAGACAACACTAGAAGCCAAAAAGGATGCAAAAAGCAAGTATCCTTTGCCCAGTTCACCAAGAATGAAATGGGATACTAAGTCAGAAGGTTCTTTTGCTTCTCATCTAAAAATGAACTTTGTTTTGGGTGACGAAAATGATGATTCTGAGGAGGAAAGTGCAGCTGGGTTCAATTGGTTTTCAAGTTAATGGTGAATCCCAGGAAGGAAATCTTAAGAGCATTGTTCGTGCTTCTTTAATCTTCATAGTCCTATTGTGAGATAACAAAAATGGTGCATCGTGCAGAGGTGTAACCAGGATTTCTCAAAGGAGGGAGACCAAAGTCAAGGATTTTGTTTGAGCCCCCAAAATGCCTAACCCCCTCCCACCCAAAATAGCATTATGTTTTAATTTAACAAAAATTAGAAACAAATTTTAAAATTACCTTGGGTCCCCCCTTCCCCCTTTCTACACCCCTGATTGTGGTCTAGGTTCCGGGGCCACCAGTGAAAAACGTTTGCGCATGCGTGCACTTCAGCACGTTTTCTAAGAATTTTGAAGAGTTTGAGTGAGAAAATAAATGTTTGTTTTCTCCAAGTATTCAAAAATGTTAGAGAGTATACTTTTGTCAGACCAAGATACTGTATTAACAAATACGATATGAAAGAATTAGCCTTAAGTTTCAAGCATGGACACTAAGTTTTGGCATTTTGTGAAGTCCAATTTATAAGGCATGTTTGAAAGTCAAATTTACTTATGTTTTGACTAATTTGAATATGGATTCAGAGCATGCACAGACGTTCTTCACTTGTGTCGGTTTGGGGTACAAACTTCTTTTGTTCATCATGCCTTATATGGTGTTGTTTGTACTCAACCTAAACCACGATGCATCCTGTTTATCAAACTTAAAAAACTATGACTTCCAGACGTAATGGTTTTGGTTCCCCTAAATCAAAACATAATAAACTCACACCCATCTGTTGTAATATTTTATTGGCAGAAATCAAAACACTAGAAACCTGATTGTTTTGTCTGTTAAATCAGGGCTAAAAATTGTGTTAAGAATATGCATGATTCTCTATTTCATCTGTCCATGTTAATATTGTAAATAAATGAATGTTTTCAGAATAGGGAAAACTATGATTTATGGAATCAGTCTAGTATAGACTAGGATGATATAATTAATCTGCAAAAGGACTACATGTCTGCTAAATTTGGAAATAATGAAATTCAAAAAATTCCTCTGACTGCCAAAGTGGACTCGGCCTATCGGCCTCTTCTAATTTTGTCAGTCCTCGGAATTTTTTTCATCCAATTATTTCCAAATGAAATTATAGTCATTACTTTTATACAAATTGCAAACTTTTGCAAAACTAATTTTAAGTACAATTTTATAAAAATTAACACACATGACAAAATTTTAATGAAGATATCAATTTTTATGAGTATCATCATCATCATCATCATCATTAATTTTAAGAGTTTCTTTGTTCATGGGAGTCATGACTTTACTACTTTTTTGTTTCATACAGGTTTTTTTATTTTCATATTCCTGCTCCGAGCTTTCGGGTTACAAACCCATCGTCAGTGAAAAACTCTCTATTGAATAGGACATTGTTCTTGGAAGCTATTAAAAATGCTTCAGTCCATTTGCGCTTAGACCAAAAAGCTTCACTAGCCAGGATCCTTGAATTATTCCATGCTATATCATCATCACCATTATCATCATCATTATCATCACACCTTTATCAATATCATTATCATCATCATCAACATATTGATATGTATCATCATCATTGTTATCATCATTATCATCATCATCATTATCATCACCCTCATCATCATCATTGTGTTAAAGAAAACATCCTACAGCGGCTCCTACAGTATCCTGTCATCATCATTAATTGCATTATCATCCAAGGCAAGTCAAAAAATATAAATGAAAGAAAAACGAAAGGAAAAGAAGGAAAATTGAACTATAGCAGTATTTTTTAAAATTTATTTCATATCAATACTGTATATATAAAATTACGTGATGCATATAAGTGACGGATTGATTACCGTTTTCTTACGTCACATGATACCAACTATGACGAACATTTGATTAATATAACCACACTCTGATAATTTTTTGGTGGGGATGGGAGCGGATCATTACGATTTTGTTGCTATGACTTGAAAAACAACAAAAAAACGAGCTCAAAGTAACGGAATATTGACCGCATGCCTTTATAGCCTGCCATAGGTTTGTTTATCGATGTCTGTTGCGATTCTAATTAGTGTCGCCTAGCAACAGGGATTACTTTAACCCGAGGGAAGCCCCTAAAGACAAAGCTCGTATTCAATTTTTCGTAATGGAAGGAATTACAGTTTAACAAGCGATCATGTGAATCATACAGGCAATGTAGAGGCAGAAATCTGTTAAAAACCCCTAAATGGATGGCCGTTTACGAAGAAAGTCCTTTGTCGAGCATTCTGCTATCGAAGCGTTGCTTTCTTGCAGCGAGAAGTGCACGGAAGAACCATTCGATCCCGTAGTGGTGACATCGAGTTGGAATGAAGTCGCCCGTGGCTGGCGGAATGTTAAGCCAAATGCTCGTTATCTGACTTCGCCAGAAAAGCGTAAAAAGTCCAAGGATAAATTCCAAGTTGGTCAAACTTATTCAGATTCCGAGAATCAACTCGCTAAAGTAAAGAAACTAGCTGGAATGATCGCTAATTCGAACATAATCTTGAAAGACGACAGCTCTGCAACGAAACATAAAACGGCCAGGAACACTGCCCTGGTTAAGTATCAAAACTGCGGGGTTTTGTCTTACGATGTGCCTTGTTGGAGATTTATTTTAGAGCCTAAGCATTTCCGATACATTGAAAGACTTGGGTTTTTAGACATTCGTGCTCTGAACGATGTCAAAAGGAGTAGTATTACTTATTCCTTGATGCTAGATAATGGTTCCATGATAACGTGCCAAGAAGTAAATGGACGCATTGTTCTTTTCGATCCAGCTCTAACTTTTGATCGTCATTTATTAGCGACCTACGAACTTAGAGAAGAACATAAGCTAAGGTCTTGTCATAGGACGAATGGCTCGTGTGAATTTGCTACTGATTTTTTTCAAACAAGAACAGAAGACAATAGAATCAAAGTTGTACAGACAATCAGTTCAAAATCAAGTGCAGGGGCTTGTAGTTCTTGTGAGATGTGTCGACACAGAACCCAAGATTTCGCCCCAAATCCGCCGAAATTACCCTCTCCTAAGAATAAAAACTCGGAACTCAAACCTTTACAGAAAATCACTCCTTCACAGAAAAAGACTGCAGAAGATAACCGTGCTCTTGGTAAAGTGTTGATTCAGCATGCTTTTAATTACGGCCGCACGAAGGAGGTGCCTTCGAAGTCAGTCAAAGACAACAAAGACAAAAAATCAAAAGAAGGAAAGGTTTATCATTCTAGACACACAGTGCGTCTTGACTGGCTGCCTATCACACGAAGTACAATCGCGTATCCTTATGTCCAAGGTATTCCAGAAAGTAACAGTGATAGTAGTAGCAGTGGTAGCAGTGTTCCTGAACAATCTTCATCAAGTATGATCAAGTCGTATGCCCTCCCAAGACATCAACCAAAGGCTAGAAAATTGACATTGAGTGAGGCTGCCAGTCTGGTTCCCAAGTCATCAAAGCTGGGCAATGCTTTTGATAACCTAACGAAAGAGCTGAAAAATAAGCATGAGAAATCGTTGAGTTTATCAGAACCTTTACTACCATCTGTTTCTGGAACCAAACTACAAGTTTCCATATCGGGAATTGACTTGTGAGTTCCTAAAAATTCCAGGTTTCAAACCAGTTATGTAATAGGATACCCTTCTATATCCTCCCCTGCCTCCCAAAAGCCGGCCCATACATCATCATGGGAATTGTGTACTGTGTGAAGACAGGACCATTCTGGTCGGTCTGCTTCCTCATTCCTGAGATATGCACAGAATGATTTCCATCTTAAATTAAAAGAATCTATTATAAAAAGCAAGATCCAAAATAACCTTGTCTTAAGCGCAGTAAGTAAGGATATCAGGGGTATGGTCCACACAAACTTTTCTTCACTTCAGTCACCCCGTCCAGGTAGGAAAGGACTAAGGAGAGGGCATTAGTCGTGAGGTTGGGGTGTGGATATGCATTACGTGAAGTCTCCATTTTATGAAGCAAAATGAAATTAAAATCTTCAAATGTTCTAAAGTTGATACAATCTTTAAATTATTTATTAAGAGACCTCATTCCCCTCCTGCCCATGCCCACTCATTGGTACTGAAGGCTTCTGACAGAGAAAATAATCATTTGTATTATATATGTATATATTAGAAAGCTTTAAATTTGTTAAATGGATGAAATCCAATTAGATAAGAAGTGAAATGTTTTTATAAATTATTTTAAAGGGGTAAGTACTTCATTTTTATGAGTATTTTGGAAAAAGTAAGTATTGATATATCGGACATCAAAATTTTTATTTTTGATCCTTTTGAAGATTTTTAAAGGAACTGTCCTTACTTCCAAAGAGTGTTTTAAAAAGTGCTGGAATTGTTAATATTTTTAGTAGAAACGATGTTCCTCAAGACTTTATCCTGGTGCCAATAACAACAGATTCATTGTTAAAAAGGGAGCATTCATTATATTTAGGAAGACAGGCAATAAATAGACTAAATTAATTTGGGCGTAAGGTTACCCACATCAGACCACGTGTAATTCTCTTGAGAATTAAGATTCTTTGTTCGAGTTGAGTATTGATATTAATAATAATATTAATAATAATAATAACAATAATAATATAATTATTATTATTATGGTTTATTATGTTCCACCAGGCATCTGTTCTATGCTATATAATTAATATATATATATATACAATAAAATGATACTAATTTATACTATTATGCTAACATTACTAAATATTAGTTCATGTCATCTTTTCATGCCAACAGTTAAACAACAAAAGACTGATACTCTTTTTGAATCTTATTTATCGCCATAATAAAGATTATTATTATTACTATTATTATTAATTACACTTGGCCTAAAATGGGATGTAAAATCTATCTGCCAAAGCTAACTTGGTCTATCGATAGACTTGTAAATATTAACAATTCCCCATGTGAATGTGAGTCATGCCCAAGTTCGCCTTGATACAGTATAAAATCAGCCACTAATTTCTTCCTTCTCCATCACCACCTTAAAGAGATAATAATGGTCTGTAAGGTCTTATAGAATGTGTTTATAGTTTTGATAATGAAATAAAGTTTGGATATAACATTATGACTCTCACATTTTTGCTTTGTCTCAAGTTGAAGCTTGACATACCTATTCCAAAAATCATCGTCTGGACCAAGAGCATGCAACAGCTGATGACTGAAACGAATGCTCTATATTGCCTTGTAATTTGTTCAAATCAGACATCTCCATTGTTACTGCTGTTTTTGATATTCTGCAAACTCTGACATTTCAATGGCTAGTTGTGAAAGTGTTTTTTTTACTGCCCCCAGCCAAGAACATAGAAGGTGCCGACTGATTATTTTTGTTTGACAGCAACCTTCGAGTTAGCAGAATAATGGAAAACAGCAGTAAGAAATATAAAAATCCACAATAATGTCAATACTGTGATATAAACTCGCTGTAAGCTGTAGGGCACGAGAGAAGCAATCTTAGGAAAAACAAGGCGAAGCCAAGTGCTTCTCTTGCTTCTCATTTTAGTGCTCTACAGCTCTCAGAGTGTTCAGTACAGAGACATAAGCAACCATTTTATATTGCTTTTATAAAATATTTTTGACAATTCTTTGTCAATGTGTCTCTGTCCTCTGATATAAACACAGTAGCCAGTCAATCAGCACAAGCATTATATTTCAAATATTTTATAAAATGAATTACAGAGCATGTGATAATTCACATACTAGGTGTTCACCCATGTAACTTAGTTCTATAGCCAATAAATCTGATCTAGATGTGATTGAAACCACAACCTCACTCAACAGGCCAGTCACTAGCCACCTGAGCCAAATATCGTAATTCATGGTTCCTACAGGTACCCCCTAGTTATATCATGGTTTTGTTACAATTACTATTGCCCACAAGCTCAAAAAATAGCTACATGTAGAATACAGTATCTCAGAATAGAGCGTTTTCACTCACGTGAGAAGGCAGCCATAAACAATAGAAACTTTCTGCACAGTATTTGTATTAAAATAGAGTTCAATTCCTGGAGGACAGAAAATGTATTGTTTTGGTACCCCATAATGGCCGCTGTGACGTCATGTGAAAATGCTCTATTTAAAACTCTGATCACGGAAGATATTGAAACTATACATTGTTTCAATTGTTTACTGTCCTGCGAAAAAAGAAAAGGGAAATTAAAATAGATGATTCATAAAATAATCTTCTAGTAGTCTTTAAGCTGTGAAGTTGTTCGTTGGACAATATTTAATTCCACTGGGAAAACTGCTGCAACGGTGAATGGTTCACTATTATCTATGAATAAAAGTTGATATCCCTGATGGATGTGCTGTGTTTTCAAGTTTGAGTTTGCACACTTGAGAAAACTGAAACATTATCAATGTCATCTAGGAATGTCTGAGTGTGAGTATCCATTAGCTGATTGTAAATAACATCTTGCGTTGCAGTTTGCGTCATTTGGGTTTGCCTATCTATTGGTTCAAAAGGCCAGCTGTTGGTTGCAAAGGCTTCTGGGATAGTTTGAGTTTCAGTGTTAGTAAGTCCAGCTTCAAACGTCATGGTGTTTGTCATGCTGGAAGTTTGCGTACGTATATTTACAAGGTCATCTAATGTAGTTCGATGGATTAGAAGATGATTTTGATTTGTAATCTCAGACTCTGTGGGCATCAAGCTACTTAACCATGTCTGCGTCTGTGATTCTGTTAGCTCTACATCTGATTGATTCCATAATTCATCAAAAATCTTCTGTGCTTGAGTCTGTGTTGCACAATCCATTGAAATAGAAGGATCAAAACCAAAGATCGATATAGAAGTCTGAGAAGCGTTATCCTCCAGTGCAACTTGAGAAAGGTCTTGTGTTTGTGTTTCTGATGTGCTCTGGAATCGGGGGTCTGTAATTTGAAGATTGCTGCCAGTCAAAAGTGTTTGTGAACTTAGTGAGAAGCAAGTGGGATCTTCTTGGATGCCCAGACTGGAATGATGGGGCATAAAAAGGTGATCATGTTGTATCCCGATGGAAGAAGATTGAGATATACTATTCCCATCCATATCAGGTACCATGACTTGACTACTAAAATCAATCATTGAGACGGCATTCAGCAAGTGCTTATTGGCTTGTGTGCCAACAGATGCATTGCTAAGTCTGGTTCCTGTGTCACTGATCATTTCAGAATCAACACAAGTTGAAATATCAAGCATAGTCTGTGTTGAAATGTTTCTAAAACATTTCCGTTTTAATGTCTGCGTTTCTGCATCTCTTGTGGTGACACTTGCTACGCAGTTCCCTGTGAAGGGAGAGGTTGATATCTGGTTGGGTAGATTAACAGGCTTTGGCAATATTTTACAATATCTTTGTGATACAATTGGAATTTTCTCTTGGCCTTGTTTTACTGTTGTTGCTGTCAACATGGTGGCTGGTTTGACCACTTGTACTGGAATTGTTGTCCTCGTCGTCTGCCTGGAAGCAATATTGAAAGCTATTAAACTCAGGTTTCTGTTTTTGAATTTGATATCACAACGGTCAAGCAGTAATAACCTCTTTAGCATGGGAGTTTGTTTTGCCCATTTCAGACAATGTGTCATTCCTTTGAGAATAGGATTCCTTGTTTCATTTGCATCCATAAACAAAAAATGATACTCAAGGGAATGACATATGGTCTGAAATGGCCAAAACATTATGCCCAAACTTAAGAGGTGTATTATAATCACAAATTGTACATCTTCCAACCAACCCTTTTGAATTTCAAGCTTATTTCATTTTAAGTGCTACTCTGATAAAGATCATTCAAACTTGGATTCAGCTGTAACTTCCTAAGAATACTTTTTAAAGGTCCAATAATCACTGTATGGAGTGTTTTCTCAATATTCAGGATGAAAGTATGATATTTTTACGATTATTTTTTGGAGTCCGTGACGTCATAGCTCAACATCAAACATCGCTCCATGCATTTCTTTGTATATAAATCCTTAATTTATTTTATTCCTGTGAAGCCCAAAGGGTGGCTAATGTGCTTATTTCACATTACTTTTTGTGACTATAATTTATATTTTGGGGTGTTTGGGTATTTCTTTCTCCCTTTACTACTGATATTTTGATCATAAACTACAAAGTAATGTATGGAGCGATGTTTGATGTTGAGTGTATATGACATCACTGCTTGGTGGCAGCCAAGACAGGAGGTACAATAATAGAGTCTTTTCCTTCTGGGAAACTGAATTATTTCTCATTCAGATTCAATTGTTCCTTCCTCCAACAATGGCTGCCATCATGTGATGGTGCAAAGCTTCTATCCACCAGAAACATACATACATGTTATCAAAAACTGCTGTCGTTTCTGGCACTTGTTTCTTGGGTGGTAGGCTGTGTTGTTTTCTACGTACATGCATCAGTAAGGCTTCTCTTGTTGTGAATGGACAGCCACAACCACAGTGGAAAACCTGGCCACATTTACTCTCATGTCTTTTACATGCTGCCAACAAACCAAATCCTCGACTGCACTTGTCACAAGTGTATTGTTTTTCTGCATGCACTGTCATGTAATGCTGTGTTGAATAAAACAAAACACAAAAAATGATGAAATGAATATGTGCTGGTATTAAAATAAACAAATTTATAAATTAGTGACAAGAATGATGGCTGAATGAATGGATGGGTCGGTAGATAAATGGATAGACTGATGGATGGAAGGATGGTTGGATGGACAGATTAATGAATGGAATGAGAAAGAATAGGATCAATGATATTATAGCATGAACGCATTAATAAACATATTGAGCAAATAACTTTCCAAAAACTCAGCTTGACGAGTTACCAAACCTTAAAAGACAAGTCAAATTGAAAGACAAATTCAAGTCGAACACATTTGTTAATGCAGTTTATTTGTTAATGCAGATTACCAAATTGGCAAGACTAAGTCCTGTTATGTGAGAGCGGCAAAAATCAAAACGATAAAAAAAAAAGAGAGTAAATGACAACAATCCATACCTGCTTAACTTGACCAAGCCTCGGAAAAGGTTTCTTGCTGGACTTACCCCGCGAACAATCCAAAACTGGGCAGTAAAAATGCTTCTTGGTACACTTCCTTTTCTCAGAGTTTCTCGTAAAGAGTGCTTTTTCTTCCTCACTTTCTGTGATATTATGAGTCTTTACCACATGCATTCGAAGAGAAGCTTTATTACACAATATTTTAGAGCAGCCTTTCACAGGACAAGGAACTGCAGTCTCAATACTGGTTAAAATTTCAACCGCAGGACATATTTCTTCAACATCGTCCGCCATCTTGAAAATATTTATTTTTTGATTTTTCCACAGGAAGCCCAAGTTATGTGTTTTGGTATGTTAAAAAAATTATGTTAGCACAATAATGTTTATCAGCTGAATCGTACGTTTTCATTTTTTTCCTGGTTGACAGAACGAGCTGTTCAGTCTTTGCACCATTTCAAAAAGATAATGAGATTAAAAGAAAAAAATGAAAGATTCTTGTAAAACAAAGTTGCATCATAGCTTTTGGTTACCAGTCTCTTCAAGGCACTCGCGGTCAATATGGCGGACGTCAAGCAGTTTAAAACTCCAAAAAGAAGATTGGTATTTGAGAAGAATTCCTTGGAAGATACTAAACAAAGACACAAAAAACAGATAACAGAGCATTATTTCAACCATTCTGTAAGTGTTGGTGTTTTTCCCACAATAATATCAAGGAAGGCGTAGTGGTGCGTTGCACTAGCCTCTCCACCTCAGTCTTCAGTTCGATTCGAGGGTTTTTTCTCTGCTTTCTACAGCTTTCCTCACTCCGCAAAACACCCAAGGTATCCATTTCAATCTGTGAGTCACCTACTATGTCACTACTTACAAGTTTAGATCAACACAGAGGATGTTTCAGCGTTAAATAAAAAATTAATGCAAACATAGTTAATATGTTATTATTAACTATTAACTATGATGCAAATTAATAAGTTTTTCAAGCGTTTACCTTCTTTCTCTTCTTGATGTGTAGGTTTCTCTAGTTATTCCAGGATGTGCCATTGGAACAGTAAAGCATTATTTCAGAGAACATTTACCATCGCTGGATGAATTTTGTGTTGCAGTTTTGCCACTGCATGTTTTTATAGAAAAGGAATTTATTGAGAAGTTTATAAGACAAGGTGAGCTTACATATTGTATTATTAATATCATGATAAGGAGGTTACATCCTCTGGGAAGTCCATATTTGTACATATCCATCCATTATTCCCATTCTTCATTCGTTCATTCATTTATTCATCCATCAATCCATTCATCCATCCATTCATCCATACGTCTGTCCATCCGTTCGTCTGTCCCTCCATCTGTCCGTTAATAACTAAGATATGCTTAAGCACTGATGTCAAGTAAGTACAAGATACACTTATCTAATAATTTTCTCTATTCATAACTTCTAGGAAATTTTTATGCCTTGAGCAGGAAAACCAAACTAGACACTGAAAATTGTGTTGCAGTACTACCAACAGGTAATATAAGGGAAATAAATTCCTGAGAGCAAAGGGATTTTATTGTTCTGCCATCTAACCACAGGCTGTCCAGGGTGTATTATTTGGGCACCTGTAGGTGATGGTGCAAATTAAGCCTCTATACTACTATTGATAAGGTGCATGGATATAATACAAGAGCAGCAACAAAAAAGTCTTTTTATTTACCCAAGGCTAGAACTAATTATGGAATATTTAACA